TTCATATTTTGGAATAGATCAGTATTTCATTCCTCCTTATTGCTAGCTAGGATTTCTTAGCAAGAATGGAGAATATTGTCCTTTTCTCCTTATCAGTTGGTGGACATTTTGGTGACTTCCACTTTTTCTGCCCTGAATGGTGCTACAGTGAACATTCATGGGTTATTGTATGGATATGGGCTTGAACTATCTCAGCAGAGACTTTACACTGTAATTCCTGGGCCATATTACAACTGTGTGAAACAACCAATCCTTCCTGAAGTTCCCATACCTCTCTGCACTCACCCTGGTACCCAATTAGAGATAGGGGATGTCCGTATCCGTGCCATCATGCATCCCACTCATGTGTCGTCATTTAGCTTTGGAGCTTCTGGAAGGGATGATCCCTCTGTGCCCTTTTGTGCCAGTTCACCTGGCAGCTGGCATACAGCTGGAGCTCATCAGGGCACTGTAAGATAGGATGTTGAGGTAGGGTGAAACAGTATGTTCTGGACATGACAGGACTCGGACTCGAACTCACAGCAGCTCTGATTGCCTACATCAGGTCAAGCCAACTAACATTCTAGCCTGGATGGAAAGGCGCACTGGAGCATCCACCCTCTAGTGGAAGAGCTATTGCAAAGGAGGGCTGCCAGGCAAGGTGGGAAGGGCCAGTTTTCCTTAGGGCTGGCTTAATGCCCATGTGCTTAGGAGCAGCAGGAAGTAGACTGAGTAAGTTATTTTTTAAAAGAGGGAAGAAAAGGATGCATGAAGGAGGGAGAGAGAGGACATGACGTTGGGGAGTGGGGTAGGCGCATCTGTGAGGAGTTAGAGGTGGAGAGTGGAAGATGACTATGATCAAGTACATTGTATCCACGTATGAATTTTCCAAAGAATATGGTATTTAAAAAGCTACTTCCCTAACACAGTATTTCTCAAATCTGTAATTATTGACTTCTTCACTTCACGATGTAACTGTACCCTATATGTAAACATACATAGACTTTCTAGATAGAAAGCCCATTGTGTTTTCTTTCGTTTTTATTGCTTAAACTCATCATTAATCAATTAGTTCATGCTGGGCCTGTTCATTCTGGTTAAGAAGGCATGTTCTAACAGTTTGGAAGTTGGCACAGGAGTAGGCCTGACTTTACCAGTTTTGTAACCCCTCCCAACACATGCGTGCACAGAACATACACACACACACACACACACACACACACACACACACACACACACACACTACATTTCCAAAGGTAACTGTGGAAGGATCCTCATCTCCACATGGTTTGACTGATGAATATTTTGGCTTTAAAAGTGTGTGAAAGTGGAACATTGTATAGAAGTCACACTTCCTGTGGGCTCATCTTTGTCTGGGCTACTGAAGGGTGTTGGAGCAGTGATCTACCACTCTATCAGTCATGTGATCACAAAGGTCAACAGGTGCTACGCTAGGATGCCCCCTAGATTACATGAAACAAATAGATTTTTCTACCAGTGACATTTTCAACTTATGATCTGTTTCAATTAAATCCATGGAAAATAACATCATTGTTAAATTATAAAATATTTTTTAATTTTACAATGAACACATTCTTTCACTCTAAAGCATTTGTTGAACTGGAACTATTCCTTAGGCAATATTTTAGAAAGTGAGTGTCTAGCAGTGAAGAAAACAGCCCAAAGCCTTGTACCCCATCAAGCCTTCATTCTCGTGCAGTCTTTATATTGCCTAATATCACTTCCTGCTTGGTTCAAATGTAATTCATACCTACCATTAAAACTGTTTCAGGAAGAGATTGCCATGTGAGTGCTTACTAAAATTGGAGTTGGCGTCACTTCAAGACTCAAATGTGCTGACAGAATTAAAACCTGTCTGATGCTGATACAGCAGAAAGATCACAGGAGCAAGAAGGACACTTCCTTAAAACCACATCATGACACTCCGAAGCTCCCAGCCTTCAAGGCTAGCATCCAGTTCCATTCTGCTTGGGATTTTCCAGATGTGTTGGTATCTGGCCAAGCACCAGACCCAACTCCATATTGTTTCTTTCTTTTTTTAATTCTTTATTATACACTTTATTCACTTTGTATCCCCCTGTGATTCCCTCCCTCTTCCCGTCCCAATCCCTCCCTTCCTCCACCCTCTGCATTCATGCCCCTCCCCAAGTCCACTGATAGGGGAGGTCTTCTTTTCCTTCCTTCTGATCCTAGTGAATTAGGTCCCATCAGGAGTGGCTGCATTGTCTTCTTCTGTGGCCTGGTAATGTTGCTTCCCCCTCACGAGGAGGTAATTAAAGAGCAGGCCAATCAGTTCATGTCAGAGGCAGTCCCTGTTCCTATTACAATGGAACCCACTTGGATACTGAACTTCCATGGGCTACATCTGTGCAGGGGTCTTAGGTTATCTCCATGCATAGTCCTTGGTTGGAGATTGAGAGAATTGAGGCCACACTCATGTATGTGGTCTCTTGACATTGAGGGCTCTCTGTCACTCTTGAATAAGAGATCTGCTATGGCGAAACCAGCTCTTTGGCTATCCCACTACTTACCTTAAAGAAATTGAAATTTTACTATCTTAACGGGGGAAAAATCAGTGGGTCTTTTAAAATATCTAGCATTTATTTGATAGTAAATATTTCTTTTACATCTTACTAGGCGTAAAGTTAAGCTTCAGGACTGATCTGCAACAACTGTCTTAGTCCTACCCTCAACTGTTCATTGTACTTAAAAATGTGACCCCTTCAGATGACGTTGCTTTCAAAATATTTTGATGAATCTTTGACACAAGCCTATGAAAGAGACACTCTAAAATGAGCAGATGTTTAGTTTAGCACTGTATTCTGTTTCTGTAAACAGAGACCAACAGCATAGTCCATCATTTAATCAATTTACACCACTAAGTATTTTTATTACAATTTTAGTCACTTTGTATCCCAGCTGTAGCCCCCTCCATCATCCTTTCCCAATCTCACACTCCCTCCCTCCCTCTTCTCCTCCCATGCCCCTCCCCCAGTCCATTGATAGGGGGAGGTCCTCCTCCCCTTCCATCTGACCATAGCCTATCAGTTCTCACAGACAAAAAGAACAGGAAGGAGACTAGAAAGCTAAAGCTTATGGTACATAAGCATAAGAAGAACCTCTACGAAGAAATACAGGGTTGGCAAGGTTGTGGTACATTTGCAGCTATGAGAGGTTATAGAGATTAAACACTGACCTAGCACTCTAAAGGAGTTACCTAGTGGTTGGGTTAGAGTCCTTCTTGGGCTTCACTTATTTCTCTACCTTGCTCTTCTTTGATTTCTTCTTTTTTCTTTTCTTGCAAGTTCTCTCAGCTGCTGGTGAGACACAAACATATCCTCCAGCCTATTGCCTCTCTGACAGGGTTTGAATGCCCCGTCCGGGGCTGTATTGGCAGAGCTGTGTCTATAAATGCCAGAAATAAGAGTACCAGTAGTGTGGACCATAAAGTAGTGAGGTGCTTTCTAGATCTGTTCTCATCCATACGTTGAAGTGTGCTTGTAAAAAGGGGTGGAGGAAAAGTACACATCACCAGTTTGGTCATTCAGTTCCATTCTTGCAACAGCAGTACTGAATGTGTAGAGATGCACAGTTGAGGCCTATGTCTGTCATAGAAAGTTATTGTGGGAGTCTGAGATCTCATATCATAGTGAAATAGGCTGGGGAGAATGTGGGCAGGGACTGTGGAAAGAGGTCATAAGCTCAGGGCTGTGGGAAGCCTGTAGAAGCTAAACAAAGAAAAAGGTTCTCATTCTCAAAGGAACCAGCCCTTCCATTACCTGGAATTTAGTCCCATGAACCCTTAGATAGAATTTCAACATTAAGTATTATTGGATACAAAATTTATAATGTTTAATATTAATGAGTTTATGGCTATCAAACACACCACATATCCTAAGATATACTCTGAATACCATCTTTTAGAAACCCCAGAGACTGGTGAAGTGTCCTGATGGAACTGAAAATTTATAGAAAATACAGCAGTCAATGGAACATGTATGAGATGATAGGCACAGAAAGAGAAAAGACATTGTATTTTATCAAAATAAAGTGAAATACACTCAGAGAAAGAGAGAGAGAGAATGAATGAATACAGAAACTCTTGCCTGGGAAAATGTAGGTAAGTGATCCATTAAAGAAATACTGCCTGGAAATTATAGAAAACTACCTAGTATTTTGTCTACCAACCAATAACAGTAGAAAATGTCATTCACATAAGCAAGCTATTAGAGAGAAATATATATTATCACTAAGATATAAACACTGACATTGGGTATTTGCTATTAACGCAAGAACGGCTGTTAGGGTTTGATACTAAAGAATAATTGTCAGGAGGGATCACAGTCATATATGTGGTATTTGGATTATTTATGGGCAAGGGGGAGGAGAGAATGTAGGTGGGCGTGACAAGTAGCAATAATCACAAGCTGATACTTGTTGAAGATGGGTGGTAAGTACATAGATGATTCCAAACGATTTCTACCTTTGAATATATTTTAGCAGTAAAACAGAAAATATTATTTAAAGTACGAGTCACTGATTAGACTTCTCAAATGTTTGAGGAGCCAAATAAATCATGTGCAACTCTCAATTTGACCATAAGCTGTTGGTGTGAAATTTGTGAAAGGAATTTGGGAAATAGGATCTTTTATTTCTACTTAGAGAATAGTCCTTCTTGCCCCTCCTGCCTCTTCTGCTTGTGCAGCCTAGGGATGAGGGCCTCCTCTTTCTATGCAAGTCAGTGGCTCCAGGGCATTCTCAGAATAGAATTTTCTTGGAATAAGTAAGAAAAAAATAATATGCATAATTGTATTGAACAATGCCTCCTGGTATTTTATGTTCGTTTGGATTCCCCTCATCTCACTCCTGCAAATATTAAAAAAAAAAAAAAAGAAGAAGGAAGGAGAAGGCAATAACTGTTTCAGTTTTTTGACAGCCTGGGGTATTTTGAAATGTTAGCTCATCACATTTTCCCTGTTGTGTTTGTGTATCTATTTCAGGATGGAATGGGGAACTTAAGAATCACAGAAAAAGGTCTGAAGCTAGAAGGAGACTCAGAATTCTTACAACCTCTCTACGCCAAAGAAATCCAGTCCCGACCAGTAAGTTTCTGATGGGAAAAGAAACAATTGATGCTCTGAAATCTAAATCTGGGGGAAATCTACCTTGTTAGCCACTGAGATGGGAGATCAGGACAGTGGGTAAATTGGCATTTGAACCTGGAGACTTAGATAACACTCATAGCTGTGGTGCTGTAAACATGTAAGATGACATCACCGTGTCCTTGCCTTTGTGGCATAGATAGTAGCAGCCACTGTTAACCAGCTTCCAGATGGTGCTATGAACCAAGATACAATAAACACAGGAAAACCCTAGTACCAAACCTGCGAAGGGCAATATTACTACTGTTTTTAATTGTCAACCATTTCAAAGTCATCCATGAAGACAGAACTAATGAATTAGAATTTTGGTTTTCATTTAAAGTTTATGTGTTGTCCATGCTGTCTGGAATCAGTTCATTATCAGCAAACGTGACCTAAAATTGTATTTAATGACTGAATGGTGTGTCCTGTTGAAGCACAGACTGACTTTGCATGGATAGCACAGGCTGGCTTTGCATTGATAATTTGTGTCTCATTTAATTCACAGGTTGATCATCGTGATAGGAACAATTGCTACTCCATTTGACAGATTAGTGATTGAGACATTTATAAATAAAATGTCCAGATTTTTTTTAAAAAAGCAAAGATTTTAATTTTGGAAATCTAATTCTAAAGTTTTTTTGTTAAGTAGTCTCTTGCATAAGGTTTTCAATTTTCTTTCTTGTAGTAAAGTGTGCATGTCATTTCCACATGACATGCCTTCTTTAGGTATCAAACTTGGTGGTTAACGATTTTTATTGTTGTTGGTTGGTAAGGCTTACACTCTGAATGTGAACTGTCCCCCACAGGCTCATGTGTCACCTGGTCAGTGTTCAGCTGCCCATGCTTTCTTGATAGGTCATGGAATAGTTAGGAAGCAGAGACATAGAGGAAGAAGCATGCCACTGGGGGAGGGCCTTCAGCTTCACAGTCCAATTCTGCTTTCCAGTGCTCTACTTCATAATCCTTAGACACATGCCCAAGCAACCGTCCATTTCTGCCCACATCTTCCAGCTGCCATACCTGCTACACACAGGTGACAGACAACACCGTCAAAAATGTGAGCTGAGATAAATCTCCTCCTTCCCCTCATGTCGCTTCTTTCAGATAGGTGATCACAATGGTAAGGAGGCCTGATACCCATCCTTTTGTTATACAGGTTGTTGCACATGTATTTTGTGAAGAAGTAGAGCTCATTGGTTGAAAATGCTTAAGGCCTTCACTTCACATAGGATTCATCACTGTCCACATGAAAGACAAGAGTCACTAGAAAGTTCCTCAAGCCATCACTTACATAATTAATGAAATACAGCCACTTGGCTGTGAGTGCCATATGAGGTGGGGATTGTATTCGACTGCTTGTGACTAGAGATGCTAAATCCTTCTGCTTGTGGAAAGAATCTCCATTTCTATCACATCAGGGATACAATTCAAAGTCCCCTGGCATGGCCTATCAATTTCTTTGTTAATTTGAATTTTTTTTAGTGTGTGTATGTGTGTGTGCGTGCTCATGCGTGTGCCACATACAAAAGTGCATGTGAAAACCTCAGCACGATAGAAATGAGGAACATGTCCACCACCCCAAGAGTAGAGTCTTTCTCTGTCCCTGTTCAAAGCCTCTGTTCCACCAAAACCATTCTGTCCTCCCCTACCTCCAAGCAACCACTGATCTTTTTTTCCTCTACTCTGTCATTACTTTAAGTTTTTTTGAACTTTATAGAGCTAGAGTCATTTAAAAAAAAAAAAAAACTTTAGCATAAAATTCCTTTGTCATTTTCTGAAGATTTTTTTCTTAAAACCATCTATTTAAGAAAGTTTTGTCTTTTACCTGCAATTAGGCTGTCTCGGTTTGCTCGAAAGAGATATGAGACTGTGGTTCAAGGGTATATAGCCTTTTACACTTCTCTCTTGGAGAACATCAAAAGACAGAGAGGGAAGCGGAGAGTTGTTCCTATGGGATGGAATTTGTATCTCTTTGAAACGTCACCAGCAAAAACAAGTGTAATGACGGAAAACGATAAAGGAAAGATTATCAGACCTTTGGGACTGGTCTGTGGATCCTCCTCTGCACATCTGGACGGGCATTTGAACAAGCTACAGTTATGCTGTCAAGGAAGGTAGAAAGGATGGTGGTTGGGACCACTAATGCCCAGCCTTGAGTGCAGTTTTCCATCATCTTCACTAGATTCAGCTTCAGTGCCATTCCAACATATATCACCACTGCCATGTTCCCTGGGCATCTCCGTCTGTCCCTCCCTGTCACACAGACTCATGCCCAACTGAATGAGATTGAGAGCCACTCTAAGTGGGGTGGAGTAATGAGGAGATGATTGTCTCCCGTTTGGTTTTCTGTTCCACTGATCTGAGAACTAAGATAAGTTAAACCATCCACACAACGTTCAATACCGTATCTGATTTCATTAGTGACGGTTGGAGCTCTGGTAAAATCACTACAAGTTGATGGATGTGGTGGCAATCACTTAAGATGATAAATTTACCACTGTGAGTGGTGTCAGTGAATAGCAGCTCCACCAGCCTGAGTTACCAAAACATCTGAGTATTCAAAGCCCCTGAGAGTTGAATGCTATTAGTCCCCTCACTGAATGATTGAAGCAGTAATGCCTAGAAAAGGAGCTAGGACTCGCCTTGCTGTGAGCAGCTCAAACTCCATGACTGCAAGGACCCAAGACCATACTCCTAAGCTGACCCGTCAGTTTTCCCATTATACCAGCTGGGTTATACCTGTTTATTTCCCATTCATTAAGGATAGCTGTCTGTAAGACACACAACTGAGCCTCTGAAAGGAATCAGGTTGCTAGGAAAATGAATCTCCCAACAATGAAGCAAATGGGGCCTAGTTTTATCAGATCTATCCACTAATGGGGCATTCTCCATTTTATAAGCTTCTTATGAAGATGCATGCATTTTTAGGGACCCCCGACCTTATGCTCTGTTGGCTGATGGGAACACCTAATCATTGGGAACTACATTTCTCCCACAAACATCAATTCATAGAGATGCTAATTTCCTATTTAGGTGGGCAAGAACGATGATCTTACATTTCTCTAAAAAGTCCACATTTGTTCATTTTATTCTAGCCAAGTGAGGAAATCTGATCCTCACAAAGGACAGAGGATTGAGCTAAGCAGGCTTGATCTGCCCACTGTGTTCTCTGATCTGTCAGTCTCTATCAGTCACCATGGCCTCTATTTAGCCATTCTAGTCATTGGTATTATATGCTCCTGATATCCCTTGTTTCTAAGGTCTTTACATCATTGCAAGTGTACATACTGTATCAAGGAGTCAAGAAATTGTTTTATGTTTTTCTTTTGGACTTTAAAAAATAAACATTGTATCCATCACTTATTCTTTATGGCTCACTTCTTATCTCTTTCTTTCTCTTGTGTGTATGTGTGTGTGTGTGTGTGTTTGCATACCCCTTGACTCCCTTGACTGTCCTGGATTTACTTTGTAGACCCAGCTGGCCTCAAAGTCACAGAGATCCACCTGCCTCTGCCTCCCTAAGTTTATTTTCTCTCTTATGTCTAAGTGTTTCATAGTCTCCTATTTTTTGTGTCCCCACCTCAGCTTTTACTGATTATATAACTTACAAACACAATTATATATATTTGAGGCCTATAGCTTTAATAATGTCCTGACATATATTGTGGAGTGACCACTGCATACAAGATATTAGCAGACTCTTTTTCTGTTGGCCTGCATATTCCCTAAGCTGACTGCAAATGGATAATACGTATTACTAACTTCAGCTTTCATGTTATACGTTTATCTAAAACTTACTTACACGATAACCAAAGGCCAGTACCCAATGACTACATATCTGGACTTCAGCAACCTTATCGCTCACCCCTGCTGACTCCCCTTCTACTCACTGTCAGCTCAGCTTTTCTAGTTTCTGCATTGTACTGAGATTGTCTGGTATTCACCCTTTGTGCCTCAGCAATTTCCCGTAGTTTAGTTTCCTCCATGTTGTCACAACCGAGGGAATTTCATTTTAAGGCCTCCGTCATATTCTGCTGTGTAGACATGCACACTTTTTCCTCACTCACTCATCTAAGAGTGTATGCTTAGACTGACCTCTCGTCTTGGCTCTTGTGCAGTGTTAGAATAAACCCAGGACTGATGACATCTCTTCACCATAAAAATTGTTTCCAATGGCTAAGTGTTTTCAGCGCTGGATCACTATGTCATATGAGAGCGCTTTATGGTTTCTGAAGTGTATGCATAGGTTCTCATCTCCTCGGAGCACACTTACCAGAAGCATGTAAGGGTTGTTTGTTTTTTTTTTACATATGTGTCAACATGTATCATCTTTCTTCTTTTTGCTAATCCAGCTCTAACAGATGTGAAGACACAAATCATAGTTTTCATTTGTATTTCACCAATCATTAGTAATATTCCTGTGCTTTGTTATACAAGAAAGAAAGAAAGGTAGAAAAGAGAAAAAGAAAATCACCCTCCCCATTTTTATTTTAGCAATTTTATCGACTTTGGTTTTTATATTTAAGTTTTAATCCATTTTATGATGATTTTTGAGTATAAGACTAAGATTCCATCTCTCTTCCTACTTGCTTCCCTTCTCTCCACCCTGACATGGGAATGTGTATATCCAGTTTTGTCATTACCATTTATGAAAAGTACTGTTCTCTCCCCATCATGATTATTGATTTTTTTCAATAGGGAATCATTGACTGTGTGGGGTGGATTTGTTTGGAGCACTTTGTCCCATTTGGCTGATCTGTGTGTTTGATTTTATTCTGGAGCTATTCTGTTTTGACCACTGTGACTGTTTTCTGATTTGACATCAGAAACTGTGATGTCTCCATCTTTTTCCTTTTTCCTTTGAGATTGTCTACATGCTCAGTAGCAGGTGGAAACATTCTCAGAACTTGTATTGGAGGCTGAAGCTGTGACTCCCTGTAGCCATCCTTCACCCTGTC